TCTTGGCATACCAAGAAGAATTCTGGAGGAAGCCAGGGCCCTTGGAGACTGCCTCTCCCAACAGCAGGGCCGCAGTGGGAAAAACATGGGCTTTCCTCCACGAATTAGACCAAATCGAAACTCAAACTCTCCGTGAAACACAAACACCAGGGCTCCAAGGAGTTCATGGAAAATGGGATTAAAAGATAATGGCTTTTTTTTTTTCCATGAACTTTCTGAAGCTCCTTGGGATACTCTGATAATACTGTTGTTTGCCACGGACCTGTCATCGTTACCCTATTGCTGAGTGTGGGGGAGGTCATGAGATTCATGAACAACCGTGCTTTTGACTGTTAAGAAGTTTGTTCTTGAGTTGGCACTCAGCCTGCCTCAGTTGAGCCCTGGCCACCCAGTGGTTGAAGTGCTGGGTTACCAACCAGAAGGCCAGTGGTCCAAACCCTCCTGTCACTCCGCGGGAGCACGCACGGGCAGTCTGCTCCGGTTAAGATTTGCAGCCTTAGAAACCTGACGAAGGCAGCTGTACTCTGTCCCTTAGGGTTGCCATGAGGTGACATGGACTTGACAACAGTGGCTTTTAGACTGCTGCTCTGACCGGTTTTCCCCAATCATGCTGAAAACAGTGTGCTGTTTGTAAACACAGTACCACAGCAACAATTAAAACACGCAACAGAGCAGTAGCGGTGGCATGGATTCCAGCTCACAGGGAACCCCACCCACACCACAGAGTTTTCAAAGCTGTGACTTTTGGGGAACAGACTACCTGGCTTTGCTCTCCAGGTTCCTCTGGGTAGGTTCAAACCCCCTACGGTAGTCACATAATCTGGTGTCAGTTTGAGGATTAAGACTGTAGGGGTGGGGTCTAGCCTGTCAATCAGGAGATAGCCAATGAGGCCTCTGTGTAGGCATGGCCTTCTCCTGAGAATTCTGGGAACTCCTGGATTTCCTCTGTGGAGGTGGGAGATACACTCTCTCTCTGCTCACTCCCTGCGAGACATCCCTGAGGAGAAGCCACATGGACCTATCCTGATGCAGCCAGAGCCCTGGGATCTGGAGGAGCCACGTGGAGATCCCTGCCAGTGCTGAGATGCTTGCAACACCACTGGATCCACAAGACTTCCCATCCACTGGCCTGTGATCGTCCTGCATTCGGTGTCATTGCATGTGTTCTGTGAGTCTGAAGAGGAATTTATAGATTGGTATCAGACATATGGCCTAATATTGGACTTATGAACTTGATCTGGACTGGGCTGGGATGTTTTCTCAATATTCAATTGCTTTTGTTTATAAGACTCTTTCTTATACACATATGAGTATCTATGAATTTGTTTAATCAACCTGGAATAACACACCCCCTTTGGACTAGTTGATGGGTATATAAGGGTTTGCAAACTCAAGGGACAATAACGGGTAGTATATTTTGAGGTCTGTCTGTGTGACAGACAGCACTGGCAGAACTTCTAAATATTAGCACACTTACTGCCATCAGAAGCCCTATGATATGCACACTCCTAAGGGACAGCTAAGGTACGTCATTTACTTCATGTGTGTCATAGAGAGTCTCCGCGAGGGTGTTTTCAGCTACTGTCGAAAGAAACTCCTAACAATAAGGACTTGTATTCACTGACAGGTCAGCCAAGCCTGAGTTTGGCAGGTGGCATAGAGTCAATAGAGTGACCCAGTCGAAATTCTGTCCATCTGTTAGAGATCTCATCTGACTTTGCCCTCTATCGGGCCCCTCTGGGAGTCCCTCAGGTGCCTCCCACCAAGCTCAGTATGAGCCAGTGTCACAGAGGGGATCTCTTCCATCTGCGGATGCTTTCCCACCTGCCCCTGGCAGGCTTTTTTGCCCACGTGCCACCTTTCCCCGAGGAGGACTCCCTGCCTTCCTCACCACATTCCCAGCTAAGCAGCACAGGTCCATTGTGATACACGTAGACCCGACAGGAGTGGCCCCTGGCCCTGGGCATGTGGTCACCCTCCTCTGAACTCTGCAGGGCACAAAGAAGAAAGGGACTGTATGGGGTGCCCACACTAGTTTCTGCTCCAGCCGGTCACCGAGAAGCCAGGCCGGAAGCACCAGCACTCCGCGCTGATCGTGGCTCTCTCTGAGCTCTGGGCTGACTTGGAAAGAGGTGGTTGTGACAAGTTGGATGGCAACGAAGAGAGACTGCAACCAGAAACTGGACTGGCCTTCTGGTGCCTGCTTGTGATGTCTGTGCTTGGAGCTCAGCAGGAAGGAGGTTCAGATACCATGTTTCCTCGAAAGTAAGACATCACCCCAAATAAGACCTACTTACAGTTTTGCCTCTCGTTGAAATATAAGGCATCCCCCCCACAATAAGACCTCCCCTATAATAAGGCCTCCCGAAGCTACCGTAACTCTGGACTCTGGACCATAGCAGCGAGTGCTGCCACGCAGCTCACTGATGGCCGCAGTGCAGCTGGAGCAGATAGGAAATGCGAGTAAATGTACCATAGGTTATGAGTAAATGTACCATAGATTGTTGTACATGGAAATAATGGTAGTAACAAGAAATTTGATACTGTAGATCACAGTTGGTCTGGTTATGCTGGTTTGTGATGACAACTACTGTACCGTATACAGGTAATAAATTTCCTTTTTTTGTTGTTCAACAATAAATGCGTACCATATTCATGGAAAAATAAGATGTCCCCTGAGAATAAGACCTGGCACATCTTTGGGAGCAAATATTAATATAAGACACTGTCTTATTTTTGGGGAAACGGTATTTGTTCTTGGCTTATTCTGATTTTCCAGTAGCACTCCTACAGTTTGAACATCAAAGAGGGTTTGCAGTGATGGTTTTAAAGAAATAGGTCATCCACTTGTTAGTTTCAGGGCGCCTTAATGTTCTTTTTTTAAAAAAAGATTGAGAACCTCAAAGAGATGTTGTTTATGATGGTTATATACACGAAGACAAAGCAGGCGAATAAGCAAATGTGGTGAAGAAAGCTGATGGTGCCCGGCTAGCAAAAGATATAGCATCTGGGGTCTTAAAAGCTTGAAGGTAAACAAGCGGCCATCTAGCTCAGAAGCAACAAAGCCCACATGGAAGAACATATCAGCCTGTGTGATCACGATGTGTCGAACGGATCACTGAAGACAAATGGATACATAAGCAAATGTGGCGAAGAAAGCTGATGGTGCCCGGCTATCAAAAAGTATAGCATCTGGGGTCTTAAAGGCTTGAAGGTAATCAAGCAGCCATCAAGCTCAGAAGCAACAAAGCCCACATGGAAGAAGCACACCAGCCTATGCAACCACGAGGTGTCGAAGGGATCAGGTGTAAGGCATCATCAGAACAAAAAATCTTACCATAGTGAATGATGGGGGGAGTGTGGAGTGGAGACCCAAAGCCCATTAGTAGGCCACTGAAGATCCCCTTGCAGAGGGGTCTCGGGGAGGAGATGAGCCAGTCAGGGTGCGATGTAACAATGATGAAAAATACAACTTTCCTCTAGTTCCTAAATGTTTCCTCCCCGCTCCCACTATCATGATATGAATTCTACTTTGCAAGTCTGGCTAGACCAGAGGATGTATGTTGGTACAGATAGGAACTGGAAATCCAGGGAATCCAGGGCGGATGATCCCTTCAGGACCAGTGGTGTGAGTGGCGAAACAGGGAGGGTGGAGGGAGAATGGGTTGGAAAGAGGGAACCGATTACAAGGAACTATATGTGACCTCCTCCCTGGGGGACGGACAACCGAAAAGTGGGTGAAGGGAGACGTCGGACAGGGCAAGATATGACAAAATAATAATTTATAAATTATCAAGGGCTCATGAGGGAGAGGGGAGCGGGGAAGGAGGGGAAAATGAGGACCTAATGCTGGTAGTTTAAGTGGAGAGAAAATGTTTTGAGAATGATGAGGGCAATGAATGTACGGTGTGCTTTACACAATTGATTTGTGTATGGATTGTGATAAGAGTTGTATGAGCCCCTAATAAAATGATTAAAAAAAAAAAAAAGATTGAGGACCTCAAAGAAATGTTGTTTATGATGGTTATATACACCTGTAAGTTACCATATGAGAAATCGAAAAGGGTAGAAGGGAAAACCCATGTCTATCCCTTCATCTTAAAGTAGCAATAATGGACCGAATTAGAATAACTTCATGAAGGAAAAATCGCTGCTATAATAATTTATGGGGGAAAGAACGGTTTTTCAAAACTTCAGTGGGAAGGGTGAGCTTGTTGCACATTTTTGCACCTCACTTTAATGCTTGGCTTCATGGCAGTTCTGCTGAATGGTCGCATCTGCTCCAACGTTCGGTCTGACATGCATTCACCAAACCTGCAACTTCTGGAACATTCCACGGGATCCTGGTAATAGAATGGAAAAGATAATAAACCCTTCATCTTGTTTTAAGAGTTACATTTGACCTGGGGCATTCCCTGAAATTGCCTGGACACCCCCCACCCCCACCCCTGAACCTCATACCAGGCTTGGAGAACCGCTGAAGGATGTCTGGTTGCTATACCCATTCATTCATAGATAGGGTAAGAAGAGACAGTGCTCAGATTTATATCTCGGAAAATGAAATAAGGCTTGTAGTATCAGCACAGCAATGTCCGACATGCATCCTACCTGATAGCCCTGCAGAGGCTGGTCAACACTCCCTCCCACAGGTTCCCTCTCTCAAACGCGCTTTTAGACCACACTCCGTGCTGTCGATTCCCACTCAGAGCAGCCTTGCAGGAGGAAGTCGATCTGCAGTCAATCTTCACAGGGGCAGAAAGCCTCGTCTTTCTCCCACCGAGCAGCTGGTGGGCTCAAACTGCTGGCGTGGCCAGCAACCCCATGCATGTTCATCACCCACTCTTCTACCAGGACTCCTCCCCAGCGCCTTAGCATCTCTCCATTTTAACCCAATTCACTGAAAAATGTTTGCATTCACGATTTATTATAGAATTACCTAGTGACTAAAATCATCTAGTGAATAAAACACATTTCATCGGTCTGTGTGTTTTTTCCCCTAGACTTAGCATTTCGGATGATTTAAAGATCGGCTTTTTCACCACAGACCATGCTACTCAAACAGATGCCAGTGAGATCTTGCCGCTGAAAGACTTGAGTTCGGCTACCCAACATCTAGTGCAGGTAAGTCTGAGTTCATTTCTAAACGCCTGAGCTAAATTTGGTCATTTCTTGTCTTTATGTCCCTCTCATTGATAGAGATGAAATCCTTAAAAATTGCAGGACATTAGCATCATTGACAAACAAGCATATAGATGTTGTTGTGTTTTTTAGACTTTTTGATACATGTTAGTCCCTATCTTTCTGCCATATTCTCACATGTTCATTTGCTTAGTGAAGTGTTTGGTTACTCTCTTTGGAATTCTTTGGACAGCTGGGCCACTTTCTATTTGTGATTCTTTTTGAAAATTATTTTTGAAGCTTTGGGCATACACAGCATGTAGAGAATAATACAACGACTAGCCATTTGATTCACACCACACAGCTATGTCAAGTTTTGCCATTATCTCATATTTCCTTTGACACCCCCATCCCTCACACACACCTTCTTATTTATAACGAAGTGTAACGTTTCCTTGGTGCGGCAATTACTAAAACTCCCAATCAACAAAACTGACACATAGGAGAGGATGCTCTTGTGTGCTTTAATTTCCCATAACAGTATCATTTGAAACCATCCAATACTTGTGCATGAAGAGTTTATTGATTCTTCTCACACGCTTGTTGCCTGACGTTTTCTGACTGTGTGTCATACTCCCTGTGGTAGATTAGATCGAGTCCTCCCAAAATAAGTGTCAGGATTCGATGCTCAGTTATGCGACCTGATATCACAGACTGTCAAGCCTAACTTCCATAAGCTTGGTGAAGAAGGATTAATGGCAGTCATGTTAATGAGGTCAGGGACAATCCACATCATTAATTTGTACCTTGAGCCAGTGTCATCTAAGATATCAAAGCGATGAAAGGGAGCAGAGGTCATAGCGACTCACTACCACCAAGCATGTCTTTCGACCAGGGTCTCTGTGTTGTGACCCCCTCGATCCAGGGGAGGAGTGATGCCAGGGCACTTGGAGATCTCCGAGGAATGCAGTACCCACAGATGTTGAAAGGATGCCCAAACGAAGCCAAGATACAGCCTCGGAGTCAATGCCAACTAATAGTGACCCACCGTGTAAGACAGGGTAGAAGCGTCTTTGTGTGTTTCTGCGACTCTCTAACTTCCTCTGTCCAAGCCCATCGAAAGCATTGTCTTTCTCCCGAGGAGCAGCTTGCAGCTTCGAACTGCCCACCTTGTAGTTAGCAGCCCCTCTCGTAACCACTGCCCCACCAGGGCGTCTCACTGGAAGGACACCAGGACCTCCTCCCCATGCTCACATTGTGAGAGAGCCTTCCTCTAGAGCTGGCCCTCTGACAGTCAGAGTTCTAGCTTCCTGAACTGTGGGAGAATACGTTTCTATCTGTGACAGCCACCTATTTGTGTGTTTTCTGTTATAGCTGCAGTCGATAAGGAAGACATCCTCTTACTGATGAAGATTTTGATGATTTCTAATCAAATGCTCATAAACGTATGGAATTTCTCAGTCAGGGGCTAGATGCATTCGGGTTTTGGAACGACCCTGCCTTATCAGGAGGTTGTTCCAACTTACACACCCCCAAGTCACTTTTGAGAGTGACTCCTTTCCTATACATTTGCCAATTTATTTAGGTGTTCTTTTATGCTTTAAAAAAATGAATTAGATAGATCTATAGCATCCCAGTGCTACTGGTTTAACCCGATTACCCAACGCGAGATTTCAAACGAATGACGTCTTCTTCGGTCTCCATGGTCGTGGGCCATCCTTCGCGTGTCTGAGGACCGAACATACCAACCCCCGAGCCCGGCCCCACTGAGTCCTCCAGGGGCGTTCTTTGCTTTCGACCACCTTAAAGAGGTCTCCTGCAGCATCATTGCCCAGTGCATCACTGGGCATTTTAACCGCTGCCTCCGTGAATGTCGATTGTGGATCCAAGTCAAATGGAGTTCTTAACAAGGCCGATATTTTCTCCGTTTGTTCATTATATTGCGTATTGGTCCAGAAGTGAAGGTTTTTAGGTTGCCGTCTTTCACCTTCATCAGTAAGTTCTCCAAGGCCTCTTCTCTGTCACCAAGCCAGGCTGGGCGGTCTGCACGTTGCAGCTTGTGCGCGCGTCTTCCGCCCATCCTGATGCCACGTTCTGCATAGAGCCTAGCTTTGAGAATCCTTTGTTGGGCGTACACATTGAATCGAAATGGCGAAAGAATACAACCCTGATGCACAGCTTTCCCGAGTTTAGACCAGGCAGTATCCCTCGGCTCTGTTCAAACTTAATTGCCTCTTGGTCTACACATGAGCACAATTCAAGGGTTCTGGGGTTCCCATTCTGCACAATGTTATCCGTAATTTGTCATGACCCACACAGGCTCATGCCTTTGCCTAGTCAATGAAACACAAGTCAACATCTTTCTGGCCTTCTCTGCTTTCAGGCAAGATCCAGCTGGTGTATCCATGATAACCTTCTAATCACATTCCTCTTCTGTAGCCGAGTGAAATTTATGGATGCTTTGTGATGTACCATGGCAACCATTTTTTAAATTATCTTAGCAAAAGTTGATTTTTAGAGGTGAAAGAAAGAATAGCAAGTAGCCAGAATAGAGAGACCCAGAGCGAGAGAGTGAGGTACCTCCTTGGCTTGAAGTGCCTCTGTCGGGAGGACCCAGTGATGGGAATATCTAGAGACGTTCTGTCAGTGCCTAAGCCAGAAGGAGTTCACTTCCAGCCGCTGCCAGCCCAACGTGAAGACACTCCACCAGGTAAGAACACCTGTGCTCTCTCACTGCTCTTGCTTTGCCCTGGGAGAGTGTGGAAGAGGAGGTGAGGGAGCGCAGAAGCAGGTCATCCTCTTTCCCCTAAAGACGAAACCACTGTCATCCGGGTGACTTTGAGCCCTAGAGATTCTACAAGGAAAGAGTAGAACTGGCCCCATTGGGTCCAAGGCTGCAAATCTTGGTGGAAGCAGACTGCCACACCTTTCCCCTGCAGAGGGCCCGGTAGGCTCAAACCCCTGGCCTTTGGGTTCTCAGAGGAGTACTTTAACCACTGCAGCAGCAGGAGAGCACTCCTAGTGCCTGCTTACCTTGGACTACAAAAAGAACACTTAGCATGACGCTTAAAGTGATCCACCCAGAGTAGTCGTGCTCCAAATGCTGTCTGGAGGCTGTCTTTTAAGCATTGTTCCTAAGAATGAGCAGAAAGGTCAAAGAATTTTCCAGTGTTTGCATTCAGGAAGGGGCGAATCTAATTTAGAGGATGCATCATAGATAGATGACGGGAGACAGAAATACACTGCTTTGATTATATCACAATTGGTTCTCACTCAACCCACTGGTTAGATCCCTAAGTGCCTCGCTTTCAACAAATGCCTGTTCTTTCCCATCTGTTCTGATCTGAAATCCACATCTTGAGCATTAACTTTGAGGGTTTATAAACACACACACACAACTGTTGTGAGCATAGTTATTTTATTTTATACAGGGAGAAATTGCTGGGAACATCCTCTCCCGTATCCGTGCACCCCTCTTAGTCTAGCAGATGAATTGTCGTTTTGAGAGCCCGATTACCCAGAGATGGAACGACTGGGGTCAGCCAATGCGCAAGGTGTTTGAGAAGTAATCCTGCAAAGGCAGGACATGTCCCTAACCCTGTTTTGTGCCCAGAATGGGTTACAGTCTTCCTACAGAGAACCCTAACTATCGTAACCATGCATGTGTTTCCACTTTTAGATTATTAAAGCCCTTCAAGTGGATTTTGGATTTCTCAAACAGTTTCTTCAGTTACAATTTGAGGATCGACTTAAAGCGGAGTCTTCCCGTCTTTTCGATATTCTGGATGACAAGATCACCACAGCGGAGAGATGTTATCAACAGGTCAAGTGCTCCCACTCCCTTCATTGTGTGGGGATAGATCTTGTACTTAAACATTGTACTTAGATTCACGAAGGCCATTGAAGTCCCCCATGTTGCGTCTCATTTAATGTGGCTAATGCATGTGAGAGAGGCTTCGAAAAGTTCATGGGGGAAAAAAACCATTGTCTTGTAACTCCATCTTCTCAGGAACCTGGTGGAACACCTTGGGATAGCTTTATCATGTGCCGGGGGCTTTTTAAAGCACTTGTTTACAGACTGAACTCATTGGATCCTCATAATAACCCATTCGAGTCAGTCCAGCTGTTATCTCAATTTTACAGATGGAAAAACCAAAACCAGAGACGCAGGAAAGTCTATCGGCTTGCTCGAGGACACCACTTAAAAGTGGTGGCACCTCCTTTCCAACCCGGACAGGGTCCCTTGAGTTCTCTCTCACAACCACATGGCTGTATGGAGTTACTTGTGCTGTCTGGGCTCTTTAGGAGCCAAAGATATGAAGACCATGCTGCTTGAAGAAATTCCCTGGAACTTTGGTCAGGTTGGCAAACGGAGCTGTTATCATGAATGTGCATCACTATTATTTCTCTGACATTGATAAAAACCATGTTGACCACACCATCATAAATATTATGCTGAGTTCGTTAAGTACATGTTTTCCTTAAATCCTTCAACTCTCCTTCAGTGGAAATCTGATGATCCCCGATCTATGGATAAAGAAGCCAGTCCAGCTTTCCAGGCTTGAGCGACTTGTTTAAGATTAGAGAGACAGCAAGGAGTGCAGTGATACTTAAGTTCAGTTTGGTCTGAACTTAAAACCCTTCAGGGGTCTTCAATAGGTCCATGGAAAAATGGAATGAAAAGAGAAGAGAATGGGTTCATTAACTTTTTGAAGACCCTATTATTTGTTGTTTACACACTGGAAGGAAAGACTATTTTTAAAGTATTTTCTTGCATTGCTGTGCAAGACTGACACCTCAAGTTCTTTCTGCAATCAGGAAACAAATCTAAGTTTTGCCTTTGCCGTTCTGGAACCCCATACCTGAGCATATTCCACTGAGACAGTGCAGAGACAAGAAGAGGGGAGAATTACAAATAGATATTACTGCCTCTTCATCAGCTCAGGGCTGATAGATGTGTCAAATAAACTAAAATGCTGGAATGTTCTGCATTGATTTCACCCGGGTGATATCTCTAGTGTTTTGGTTAACTCTAAAGTCAAAATCAAATGTGTTAGAATAGATGCAGTGGCGGAGAAATGATTACAAATAGACACTTTCAAGAGACTGTGATGATTTCGATGATGGTTTCGCCCGCTGAGTCCCATCATCGTAAGCATGATTCATAGTTGGAAGCATCATGTGGCACTCATCATATTTATTTTTGGTTTGCAGAATGAGGAGCAGATGAGAAAATGCTTCAATCAGCAGTTAGCGGATGCCATCGCTGTTGTCAAAGGAACGTACACGGTGGGTTCTTAGTGCCTCCGCTGGCAAGACTGGCTGGATTTCCTGAGGACACACTGCGGGTTCCCGGTCTGTACTCTGAGCTTTCCGAGTGTTTGTTCCATTCTCAGGCCACTTCAGAGCTGCTCACACTCACATCACATTGATCAGAATCACACTGTGGACAGATGCTGTTTTCCAGAGGCTGGAAAATTCCAGTCTGCTATCCGTGAAAGGCACCTGGGGAAAAGGAATCTGAAGTGTGTTTGGTAACCATGCAGATGGATCAAAGAAAGTCAGATCAATTTAAGAGAGAATTTGGTCAGGGCTGTAACAAAAGTAGTCCAGGGCGTGGCCTCTGACACATTAATGGCATACCTGTTCCCAAGGGGGATACCCTAGCACGCTCCTCTTCCACAGAATGGGATGTTTCCCCAGTCCTTAAACTGGTGGGGGGGTCTGACACTAACCACTTCTTTGGCTGCTTATCACTATAATCTTGCCTTTCATGTCAATATGCGTCCATAAAGTAATGTTGTATATTTACAGCTAATTACTCACTGATTGCTTAGCAGTTAGCTTCTCTTCATAGCACTTAGCATGTTGGTAGCTAATTATTCAATTGCGTGTTTAACTGCCTCTCTGTTCAGCAATAGGCTGGAAGCGTGATAAGGGCACCTGAGACCTTAAGCAACTGGCCCAAGGTCACAGAGCTGGTCAACGGTGGAGCTGAGAGGCAAATTCCAGCCCCTCTAACGTTCATTCTTACATAATGGGTCATCAGAAATAAAGTGGAATGCACCAAGATCGATAGCCTAGGCACTAGTGAGCTGAAACGGACTTGTGTGAACCAGTTTGAACCAGTCAGTCATATCGACTATGAATTGTGGTTAGTTGCCTTAGCTGATTGAAGGGTTGTTCTGAAGATACAAAAGCTGTAACTGGATCTTCATTTCGGCTTTCTTGGCACGGCTTTGGTCCATTACTTTACACAGCCTTCCTAATCCTGACCACCCAGCTTGTCAAAGTTTAGTCATAAGAAAGAACAGAAAGAGTGTGTTGAAAGAAAAGAAAAAAAGAAGTCAGTAAGTAGTATACGCTTTGGGTTAAAAGCATGAGTGGATGACTCTCTGCTGCCCCCTGGAGATCCTTGAAGGATACAGGCACAGTCCAGTCCCTCAGCTATGGCGCCCCTAATTTAACTTCACCCAATTTAAGGTGTGATATTACAGTGCCTTATTTACCAGACTAAAACCAGTTCTTTTCATCACACCTGATTTACCTATTTGGGAACTTGGAAGTGTATCCATTGGGATTCAAATTGGAAGAGAGGAATTACTTGAGGAGTACCAAACAGGTGGGATTTAAGAGAGGGATTTGTTGTTGGTGGTTGCTGTCTCTACCACTTGCCTGCCAGCTTGTTCTGTGATGGTTTGTGTGTTGCTGTGATGCTGGAAGCTATAGCACTGGTATTTCAAATACCAACAGGGTCACTTATAGGTCGAGTATTAAGAAAACAGATGGACAGTGGGCCCCTACACAAGTACTCCCCCAACACAAGAACACTTTGTTCTAACAATTTGGCAGTCTGAGATGCTCACCTACCTGGCATGATCGCTGAAGACAATGGGTGCACAAGAAAATGTGAAGAAAGCAGATGATGATTGGCTACCAAAAGATATAACACCTGAAGTCACTGAAGACAATGGGTG